GCCATCTACTAAAATTCACTCTCATGTTACTCGTCATTCAATTAAGTCTCATCCTTTTTCTGCTACTGTTCCTAAGTGCTCCAAAAACTCTAAATCATCTAGTTTTTTATTTTTTATACAAATACTATAATGGGTACTGCTCTAAAGAGCTAGTGTCTTTTGTGCTGTTTACTAAAATTCGTTCTCGTAATATTTGTCATTCAATTAAGTCTCATACTTTTTCTGTGACTATTCCTAAGTGTTCCAAAAACTCTTACCTGTCTTGCTTTCCTGATTCATATAATTTGCAATCTTTTAAGTCATCTGTCAATCATTATTTTTCTCTATAAACTTCATCTTTTCTCTTCCAGTAACTTGTAACTCTAATAGTGGTTGCTTGCAGTCTTGTTGGAAGTGAAGTTGAAAAAAAAAATGCATAAAAATCAGCATAATCTGAGATATATGATGACATTTGAGTCATTTGAGTTTAAATCATGGCATAATTTTGAGTGTGATGCATTTTTAGTTTAAAAGTTATATTAAAAAGTTAAAACAAAAAGTAAAACAATTCTGTAAGAAAGGTTACATATAAACATGAAACACAAGTACACTAATTTCTTTGTCTCTGATTTACATATCTCATAATACTCTCAAGCACTTTTTATGGGCGGAGCACTTATTAGATATAACTTACATGGACTATTTTATGCAAATAGTCCATGAAATTTATATTAACATCTTGATTTTTATTACAAATCTCAAGCACAAAATGTATGTACCACAAACTGCATGATACTGCAAATCTCAAGCACAAAAAGTATGAAACGTGCTTGAAATAAAAATCACAAATGTACCATTCATTATTGTAAAAGTATGCAATGTATTTACTGGATTTAAAATTTAAAAGATCTTTTTGTGATCTTCAAGGTGGTAAATAAAGTTTTATAGATATTTGTAATTTTTGTACTGTGATGCAGCACAATCACTGAAGGATTTCATTTTGTTAATTGTGGGTAGCAAGAGGCAACATTGGCAGATAATAATTTTGTAATGAATTGTATATATGGTTTCTATGAGAGGTCAGTAGTGAATAATAATGACTTAATAAGTTAGCCATAGAACTAGAAGATCGAAAACCATACTTATTGTCAGACAGTAAGTTAGTTATTAGACTCAAGATGTAATGTTAGAAATTTGTTGATTATAAACTCAAAGACCTTGCTAATAATAATAGAGAGAAGACTGATTAGACAATAGAGGAAGGGTCAGAGTGTTCTCTAGATTTCTTCAAAATTGGAGCCACAGATGACATTTTTCAGCAGACAAGAAAACAAGATTTAGTTAAGCACTTATTAATAACTTGGAGAGTATTGAACAGAGTTCTGGAGAATGTTTTCTAGAACACAAGCAGTAAATGCTTTTAAGAAAGAAATAATTTAGACAACAAAAGCCAGAGATTTAATATTTAATATTATATTAACCTGTTTCTGTGGAATGATAGGAGTTTGGCCATTACCTTCAAGAGTGGAATGTAAGAAAATGTTCAAATAGTTCTATCTTATCCTTGGGAGAGTTAATAAGATGAGAGTCATTTATTAGAGATGTTACACCTTTGTTAATGACACTGTTGAAGATTTTCCAAATGTCTCTACAGACATAAATGTCTCTAGACCTAACTTGATAAAATACAAAATTTAGTCAACTTAGAATATTTAAGCTCATTATATATACATAGATCTAACAGCATCTTTTTGCATTGATTTCTTGAAAAAAAATAAAAATAAAAAAACTTATCAAACAAGTCATTCGTATGAAAAAGATTTTAAATGTTTTTTTGGATTTCGATTAAAAATTGGATTTGTATTCAATTAAAAAATGGATTTTAATTGAAATTAGCAGCTGCACAAAAAATCAGCCCAAGGACTGCCAAGAAAAAAATTACAAAAAGAATCTCAGTCAGCTTTAAAGTTGTAATAAGTATTGCAATAATAGATAACCCTAACCCTAACCTTGAAAAGTTTTACTGTTATTTCTATACCCTAGATCCAATCAACCATAGAGAAATAGGGTAACTAAGTTCTCCCTAGTTTAAAAAGTTTAGTTTATGTTACTAATATGTAGTTATTAGTTCAATATGGGCTAGATATTAGTAAGATGGCTATAACTAGGGTGAATAGTAAAAATTCAAAACTTTTCTTATCTGCTCTCTGCAGGACTAACTTTTTTCTACAATATATTAGGAACAAACATGCAAAAAATTGATCAGATTTAAGCAGTTTCAGGGGTGAATAGGATTTCAACATTTTTTGCAAGCATTTAGTTAAACAAAAATATAATTTTTTGTAAAACTAGGAAAGACATTGATGTACCCATGATTAAAAAAAAGTTATCTAAAGGTGCAGATGTTCTTAGCTGATACAAAATATATTGATAACTTTTATCAGAGTAAATACATGCCTTTTACTTGAAAGTGAATAAAACAATTAGCATATTTAAGCTGCAGATTCAAAAAACATTTCACCTTTTTAAAGTTCTTAATATCACAGGAAAGGAGAAAAAAAAATTCTGCTTTGTTTTGTCAGCATCACCAGGTTCTACTCTAAGACAGCTATGGCAGAAAATGACTTGACAAAAAAAAAAATTTAATTTAAATTAACTAATTTTGCATTGTTGCATTTATGTCCTTACGATATCTTTATCACTGCAAGTTATTGACAAACACGTCATTTATTTGTTGTTCATTGATCTTTGATTTAAAAATGTTATGAAGTAGTATTTATTATTTAATGGTATGGTAATTTAATGGTAAATACATTACTTCCATCCGATCAACAAAAACACTATTTTGACTTACTTCAATTTCTTATTTATTGTTTCTGTTTTATCACATTTTTACCAGTTATTTTGTGATTTTACAATTTCTTGTTTTGAAGTATAGGTTTATTGATAAATACTTTTCTTTCATTACTGTTTAAAATATCAATTTAATAATATTTTACTGTTAACTTATAAAAATAATTGTTGACATTTTAAGTCTTTTTTAATTATTATTTTTTTTAATATTAGGTTGTTCACTATGAATTCATATTAAATGTTTTTTATCTTTCACATGGTGTTCAATTTTTTATTAAAAATTATATATATATATAAAAATATAAAAACATCAAATAATATTTTTACTTTTTTGTCTGTATAAGTCAAAGTAGTTGTATAATAATGAAACAAAATATGCTGTGTGTGTGGAGAACAATGTTTTTTTTCAATTTTTTGGATCACCACATAATCATTTTTTATTATTTTATTTACTATTTAAGTATTTCTTATTACCATTACCATTGACTTAAAAATGAGTTTGAGTTTGAGTTTATGTATTCCAGAAATCAATTACATATGCATGTATTACATTTGTATATTTTGATGAGAAAGTGCTACACCAGGCACTTCCATGCTGAAAGAAAAGACACTTGTGTGTCTAATCATTCATCTATATTGAATTTCAATTTGTAAACACTATCTTTAAATGAGTTGACTGATTCAATTCAGTTAAAAATTGAAATAACTAAAATGTAAATTAAAAGGTTAAAAATAACTAGATTCTTTTTAAGTTATTTTTTTAGAATTTAGGATTATTTTTTAAAAATCTTTTTTGTCAAATTTTGAAATTAATAAGTTACTTTTAAAATATTAAAACAAAGTTACTACTAAACTTTAATTTACTTTTTGTATTTTGTAAATATTTTAGATATTTAACTAACTCACAAATGGAAGACAATACAGATGATGATTTTTTAGATGATGCTATAAGTGATGTATCAACCGATTCAATTCATGAAAGTCCTTCTAAAAAAATTCATTTTTCAAAACCTAAGACTATTCGAGATTTAGCTGTAAAAATTAGACAAATTGAAAGAAAAATTATGCTTGGTTTGCTTTTAGAAACTGAAGAAGAAAAGTTACGCAAAAGCAAGTATTTTACAGTAAGATTTGAAAAACTTTTGAGGCTCTCTTATAGCTTGCAAAAAGCTAATCTATATAAAAAAGTGACAGGTGTTTATTTAAATGAACGAATGATGATAGATTTACAAAAAAAAGCCGATAGCAGTCCTAACAATTTACGAAGAAAGCATATTACTAAAATTCAAAGTCTTCGAAATCGTGAAAAATCTGTTCAAGAAAAAATATCCGTTGGTCTTGTCACACAAAATGAAATAAATAGTGTTCTAAGAGACATGTACTTTGTTGTTGTTTTTGGAGATAATCTTTTATCATTAGATCATAACGACATTTATAAGGTATTTTAGTAAAAGTTGTAATTAAAGTGTAGTTATGTATGTTGCTAGTTTTAGAGTCCTAGAATCTATTTTCAGCCTGGAGTCTAAAAATATTATATATGTATATATGTGTGTGTATGTGTGTGTTTAAATATATATATATATATATATATATATATATATATATATATATATATATATATATATATATATATATATATATATATATATATATATATATATACATATATATATATATATATATATATATATATATATATATACCGTGCTCAAAGTGGAGAAAAAAAAGTAATGAGACCATATTCTGTAAATTAAAAACACCATCCTGCCTAATCATTGTTATATATAGATTTATAAAAAGGTGGCGGGAATGATTTATACTTTATAAAAAGGTGGCGGGATGACACAATGATATATATATATGTTTATATATATATATATATATGTTTATATATATATATATATATGTTTATATATATATATATATGTTTATATATATATATATATGTTTATATATATATATATATATATATATATATATATATATATATATATATATATATAAACATATACGTATATATAATTCATGGACAGGAAAAATGAGTGATCGCTCTCAATACCTGACCACACATATAAAGCTTATTTTTATAAAGCTTGTTTTTATAAAGCTTGATCATGTCTTTTTAACGCTTTGAAAATCTAAAAAAAAGAAAGAAAGTTATAAACAAGTTTAATTATCAAAAAAAGAAAAAAAATCTTAACAAAGGAGAAATTAAGAAGAAAAATAATTAAAAACTATAAAAAAAAAAGTCAACATAAAAAAAGTAATATAAAACTAAAAAATTAAAACTCTAATAGAAAATTATTTAATTATGCTTATAATTACTTATAAAAACTTTGGTCTTGTATAATGTTTTAATAATATTTGGAAAACTCTTTTAAATATAAAATTAATCATGAACTAAAATCATTCATAAAGTTTTTATTAATATTTAAACATAATCATATAATACACAAATTTTAAAATTAATTATAACTTTTTTATAATATTCTTTACTAATTATATCATGATTTTGGGCTTCATCATTTTTGTCCAAAAATGACTTATGGTGTTTCTGAAATGACCCATTTATTTGTAGTGTCTTTTTCACTTTCCCTGGTAGGCAATGGTTTCTTCTGTGATGTTTCAACACCATATGAGAACCTTTGATCTTTTGTTCCAATTATTCCCTTCCATTCTCCCAGCTGATCCAAGAATAATGTAATATCTTTCTTTTTGACAACAGAAGTCTTTTTACTTTCAAAATCTTTTCAATCAGCTCCTCAGGATTTCTATTAACAGGTCTATTACAGGTTATATTACAGTTTATATTACAGGTCAAAAGATTCTGAAGAAAATCTTCTCTTGACTTAAGTATTTGATGGACCATTCCTGTTATGACTCTTTTTTGACATGTTTTAATAATCCACTGTGCTCTGAATCTTCACCCTATACATCGTAAATAAAGCATAAAAGGGAATTCCTATTTTAAGAAAGTATGAACTTTGAACAATTTTAAATAAATAGTTTATATTTAATCTATAGAATGTTATAAAACAACAAATGCATGCTTCTACTGCATAAATAAAAATGGTAAATTAAATTAAAGGTAATGTAGAATTTTTTTTTACACAAACATGAATTTGAAAGGTTTACCTTATATTTTCTATTGTAATTAGAGGGAGTCCAGCTAGATTTTATGAGACAACTATTCTCTCTGTTCTCTGCAGGGCACTAAGCTCAAATAATACTGAAGAACATCTTTACCATTTGGAAGCTTATTCCTCGGGGAATCTTGTTTTCTTCACAAGAAATATTTCTGACCTGTTTCTATTATATTTTGGGGTAAAAGATTACAGTTGTGGGATTGTCCAAGATTACCTGTACACTTTTGTCAAAAATCATCTGTATTTTTATTTTACTCCAACAACATCTGTCTAATATCATCTGTTAATTCAATGACCCCTAACAACATCTTTAGGAAGATTTAACATCTGGGAATTTTTCTCCAAGTCTAATAATATCTGGAAGAATTCCATTTTGATGTATTTACATCTGCAAAAAATTGTTTATGTAACTTCATCCAGTTAAAATAATGCATTATTAGTTAATATATTTTTCCAGATATAATTACATCTGAAAAAAAAATCATATATGTATCTACATCTTGTTAAAACAATGCATTATTAGTTAATATTTTAATAATAATTTATTATTAATATAATTGAAAAGATGTAACTACATCTGTAGAATCTGCAGATACAGTTGCACAGATGTAGTTACATCTTTAGATGTAACTACAACAGATGCAGTTGCACAGATGTAGTTATTCTTAAAATAATTGAAAAGATGAAATTACATCTGTAAAATCTTCAGATGTAGTTGCACAAATGTTTTTATACATAAAGTAAAACATCCAGTGCCATGCACCCTAGTCTTTGCCACTTGATCTTTAAATAAGTCCTTTAATTCTAAAGCCAAACTTTTGCCAGTTATAAAGCCATAATTGCTTTATAATGAAAGTTTAAAGATCTTTAAAAATAAAGGCATAGGATTCACTGTGTGTTTTACCCTAGATAATTGAAAAGATGTAACTACATCTGTAATATTTATATATTTTTTGCCCATATGTTATAAGACACCTAAGAAACTATTACTGATGAAATTTCTGCAGTTTTTAAGGAATATAATTTATGGAGTGCTGTGAAGATGATAGTTACTGACAATCAGTGTTAACACAGCTAAAAAATATGGTGTTGTTATAAGACTTAAGCGAATATTTTAAGCAAAGAGTTTTGACAAACTGTTGTTTATTTCTAGCCGGCATCACATGCTTGATAGAGTTCTGTATGTGGTAATGGAAGAAAAAATTGATAGAAGTATCTCAGTTAATGAACAGTTATAAGTAATTGCAAGCAAAATTTGTGATTGGAACAAAAGTGATTGTTGATAAGTAAGGCTGGAGAGAGCAAATAATGCCACCTTAGATGCAAGAATTTCAGGGAGATCATTTATGTAAATTAAAAAAGTATAGAACCAAGGATAGAACCTTGAGAAACGCCTGAAGTTACAGGATATGAAGAAGAGTGTTGTCCATCCAAGATTCAATAATTTTAAAGATGTTACCTGGTACACCGTAAAAAGAAAGTTTATAAAGAAGACCAGCATGCCAAACTTTATCAAAGACTTTAGAAATCCTGAGAGGGATAAATGTAACCTCTTTGCATCTATCTATTTATTAGCATTAACAAATTAGCAGTAGAACAAGGAGATGGAATCCATATTGATGATCAGAAAGTCAGTTATTAGATTTAAGATTCAAGATTAAGTGTTTGTTAATTAAAGATTCAAAAACCTTACTTATGATAGTAAGAAGATTAATGGGATGGTATTTAGATGAGTCAGATCAATATGGATAGCAAATCTCATTTTTTGATGTCTTATCAAAATCTTGTTTTCCAACAGACTGGAAAACAAGACTCTGATAAAATACTGCTCTGATGCTCTGCTCTGATAAGCACTTTTTAAATAGTTTTGAAAGTATAGATAACAGATCAGGAGAACGCTTCTGCAAAACTGTAACAAATATGCTTTCCGCAACACAAGCTGAAGAAAAGTCTAAGCAGGAAAACACTTTAGGTACAAAAGCTGGAGTGATACAAACATCAAGCACTGGATCAACCCATTTGTTTGCTATATTAGGTATAACGCAATTAGTGGATTCAAGAGATATTGATGAGATTTTGATGACTGATTTTCTTTGATTTTTTTTTATTTAAGATTTAAAATAATGGATAAAAGAATTCTTGATGATCGTTTAAACTGTAAGTAATAAACCGTAAACAACAAAATCAAAAATATAAAATAACTATCTATATAAGTTCCAATACCCTTCAAGCTATTATGTATAATAAAAAATAAAATACAATTGTAAATTTTCAAATTAATGGTTTAGTATAAAAAAAAATTCTAAAAAAATGATCATTAATAAATTTATTAGCAGTTACACAATGGAGTAAAACGATTAGGAATGGATATGTGCATGAAGAATAATGTTAAGAATGTAAAGAAGACAGTTTTAAAAAATTTTTTGCGGAGTTTTCAAAGTTCAAGGTTGATTCTTTATGTGCAGGTTTAAACTTAAAACCATTGGTTCATTAAACTGGATGATTTAACTGGAGATATATATATAAAAAAACTAAAGTTAAGTTCAAAAAAAGTAAAAAAAGTAAAGCTATTAGGAATTGTTTAGTTTATTACAGCTTAACTCCTAAAAATAGCTGTCATTAATTCAATCATTATTCAGGAAATGATTCAGATAATTTTATAATACCATTTTGATCACTCGTAAGTTATAAAATGATAAATTATAAAAGTTCAACAAAATCAATACACCATTAAAGTTCAACAAAATCAATGCACCCTTAATCAATATAACACCTAATGTTTAATAGTTTTTATATTTAGTTACCTCAAACATTAATAAGCATCTTATAGTTACATGTTTCTCAGAATTTTTAGAGTGTCAGAAAGTTAAAAAAATTTTTATTTTTTAATTTTTAGATTTATTATACAGTTTTTAAATCATTTTTTGTATTGGTTGCTGTATTTGTTATTTTGTTAGACTGGAGCAACATATGACAATGACAAAGGAATTTTATTATGTGATTATTGTCAATCAACAGTAGAAAGGAACAGGTTTGGACAGCATGAAGAACTTCTTATTTGTAAAGATTGTGGCAACAAAGGTACGAAAAAGAGTTTTATTTTCAATAAAGATTTCCATAATTGGAAATTGATCACTCAAATCAAAAAATGATTTTTAAATTTAAAAAAAGTTAATAATCAAAATAAAATCAAAATTTTTACACGTAAGCAAAAAAAAAGAATTATTTAACTTAAAATGAAAAAATTAATTTAAAATATTTTTATAAAAAAAATAACAGCAGAAGTATTACTATTGAATTTTCATTTTAACCAGCAAAATTTAGTTTTTAAACAGTTTCTTACATTTAAAACTTTTTTAAAGAAATTAATTAAACTACTAACATAACATGTCTTGATTAATTTCTTAACATATACATGTCTAACATAACATATATACGTTTAACATAACATATACGTGTCTTGATTAATTTCTTAACATAAACTTATTAGTTGTTATTTTTACTACTAGGTAACATTCAAAATATTTTTGTAAATTGTGAAACAACTTGTTAGTGTTAGAGATAAGTTTTTACTTAATTTATTTTTGCTTAATATATTTCAAAATATTGCAAGTTGTGAAACAACTTGTTTGTGTTAGAGATTTAACCTAATTTCTTCACTTTATTTTGCTTTTCTTTTTGAAACATCAAACAAAGTGCATCTACAAAAATTAATCAATATGTTCTATTTAAATTGCTGTTATGATTTTATGATTTTTTGTTTTGTTTTGAGAGTTATTAGTTTATTTTTTTTTTAATAGCATTTTTAGTTGTTTTTTTGAAGAGGTTTTTTTTTAACAATTATAAAAGTTCTTCTTTTTTTTACTTTCAGAAGGTTTTTTTTAAGCTTTAAAGGTTTTAGCCTGTTTAACTTGTTTTTAAGCTTTAAAGGTTTTAGCCTGTTTAACTTGTTTGCAAAAACTATAAATCGTATAAAGTATAAAATTATAAAAACTATAAAATATAAAATTGCTTTGAAAATATTTACAGCTCATCCATCTTGTCTGAGTTACTCTGCAGAATTAGTTGAACAGATTCGATCAGATGGATCTTGGCAATGTATTGACTGTAAAGCATGTATAATATGTGAAGGAACTGGAGATCCAGTGAGCTTTTAAATTATATTTCGATTTTTTTTTTTTTTGTAATTTAGGTATTTTAAAAATAAATAATATTTTTTAGTTAAATAGTATTTCCAGGTTTTTGTTTTTAACACATGTTGTATTAATATAAAACAAAATGATTTGTTTTTGATTTTGGTTAAAATTACTGTGTTTTTTTTTGTTACAATTACTGTGTTTTTTTTTTTGGTTACAATTACTGTGTTATTTTTAGTTACAGTTTTATTTATAGTTAGGCTAAATATGTTTCTTTCCACTAGGTTTATATGACACTTCAATACTAAAACATGTATTTAGGTGTAATCATGGCCTACTATATTATACGGCCGTATATGTTACATTTTAGAGGCCGATTCTAAGAGGCCTATTTTCGCACAAAAAAAGACAACAAGTTGAATGATAAAACTATTAATTTTAAACTTGCATATTATGCAAAATAAAAAGCAACTTGCATAATAAGTAGAACTTGCAAATTATATATATATATATATATATATATATATATATATATATATATATATATATATATATATATATATACATATATATATATATATATATATATATATATATATATATATATATATATATATATATATATATATATATATACATATATATATATATATATATATATATATATATATATATATATATATATATATATATACATATATATATATATATATATATATATATATATATATATATATATATATATATATATATATATATATATATATATATATATATATATATATATATATATATATATAATAACTGTTTTAGAAAGTTAATAAATACTAAAAAAGCTGAATCATATCATGGTTAACAAGTGTGTTGCATATGGTTGTAAAACTGGATACAACAGTTCTTTAGAAGATAAAAAAATTGCTTCTTTTCATTTTCCGTTAAAAAATCAACAGTTACTGAATTATTGGGTTCATTTTGTTAATCGTACTGATTGGGTGCCTTCACCAAACTCCGTTTTGTGTGAAAAGCATTTTAATGAAAAGTTTATCATCCGTGGTAAAAAATGCAAGTTAAATTGGAATCTAGATCCTATTCCTGAAATTTTCTCCAGCGATTGCTTAAAACGTCCTTCCACATTACCATCGCTTATTGCTTTGAGAAGACCACCTAAAAGTCGTATTTTTCAAGAAGATGAACTAAGTTCTTTTTCTGAAAATGATAAAGTTACTGAATGGACCATGCTAAGTATTAAACATTCACCAGAAGGTTTCAAATTTAAAAAACATCTCAATTGTGTAGTTTATTATAATTTAATATTTGATCCTATAACATTTTTTCCATCAATTCTTGAATCAATAAAAATTGATTATTGCTTATGTGTAGCTTTGCAATATAAAGGAAATAATGTTCCACTTCCTCCATGGTTATCTAAAGGTCGTAATTCTAAATTAACTAGTTTGAGTATGTTAGAAAATCTTGCAGCGTACATAAAAAATACCGCTTCTTCTAATAGAAATATACTTCTTGATGTAATGAATAGTCGAACATACTATAAAGCCAAGGGTCAACCACAATATTCTGCTGATATGATTAGACATGCTTTATTATTAAGATATACATCTAAACAAGCATATGAAATTTTACTAGAATCATTTCCATTACCTTCAATTTCTTTGTTAAATAAAATAAAACAAGGTGAAGTTGATGCAATTAAGGCTGTTAAAACACTTCGTGAGAAAGGTTCAATACATGAAGATGTAATATTAATTGTAGATGAATTTTATCTTCAGAAACAAGCACAATATTGTAGTGGTATTTATGTGGGTGCAGATGATACAGGTACTTTGTACAAAGGAGTTGTTGCATTTATGATAGTTAGTTTAAAAAAATTAATTCCTTTCATTATTAAAGCGATACCTGAAGTTAACATAAGTGGTAAATGGCTTTCAGATCGAATATCCGATTTTATTAGTTCTCTTTCGCTATCTGGTTTTAAAATTCGAGGTGTTGTTACTGATAATCATAAATCGAATGTAAGTGCATTTAGTTTGCTTCGTTCCAAATTTGGTAATCAATCAAATTTCTTTATTAATCATCCTGATAGTCCAAATACTAAAATATACTTATTTTATGATAGTGTTCATCTTGTTAAAAATATCAGAAATAATTTATTACACTGTAAAAAATTTGTCTTTCCATCCTTTACATTTAATATAAAAGATGATTCTAATAATTGTCCAGCTGGTTATATTACTTGGGGAGATTTTCATCATCTACATTTTAAAGATGAAAAACTTCAAGCCAATTTACGAAAAGCTCCAAAAATTTTATAACAGAGTCTTCACCCTGGTAACAAAAAGCAAAACGTTTCTCTTGCACTATCAATTTTTAATGAAACAACAATTGCAGGTTTCAAGAGTTATTTTCCAGAACGTAAAGACATTTCTGGTTTTCTTACAATTTTTCACAAATGGTGGACTATTTCAAATTCTAAAGAGCGATTTAGCCCAAATAAACTTGGTAATGCGATTATTCTTAATGATGGTAAAACAACTTTTTTTCGACAATTAGCTAATTGGATTGAACTTTGGCAGAAATCTCCATATTTTACCTTATCACAACAAACATCATCGGCTCTCATCACAACTCTGCGGTCTCAAGCAATGCTTATAGATGACCTTATTGAAGAAGAATATTTATATGTACTTACTTCACGGCTTCAAAGTGACCCAATAGAGCGTAGATTTTCGCAATATCGACAGATGAGTGGTGGAAGATTTCTAGTTAGCTTACTAGAAGTTCAACATTCTGAAATTATTTTAGCATGTCGGTCTTTAATTAAGGAGAATATAAATTTTTGGGATGAAGATCTAAAAAACAACCACAATAACCCAATTAATAATGAATTACTGGCAATATTAGATTTAAACTCAAACGAGATATCTGAATCAACTCTCTCACCTGAAACAGAAGAAGTTGCAACAACAATAGCAGGTTACATTGCTAAAAAATTAATCAAAAGAAGCAAATGTAATTATTGCAAACCTTTGCTAGCTACAGATACAAGCAATATAATTATTTGTCCATATCTACAAATACTTTCCAGAGGTGGTCTTACAGTACCATCACTTTCACTTAAAGATTTTACATGTGGATGTTTTGCAGTGTTAGATAACCTTTCAGATTTAATAATTAAACAAGGTGCTAATGTCAAAGACGTATCAAGCTTTGTTTTATCAAAATACTTTCCAACAGTTTGTTTTACCTGTGATATACACAAAAAATGGGGTTTTAATTTTGCTTCTAAAATCATAACTAATAAAATTATAACTAATGTTTTTTTTAACAATAAGCAGAACTTAATCAATGCTACTGTACGAAAAGATGCTGTTAAAAGTTTTAAAAGTAGACAGAGAGAAAAATAACCCTATATATCTATATATATATATATCTATATAAATATATATATATATATATATATATATATATATATATATATATAAATATATATATATAGGGGAGATTGGTCTATAACGGGCCCCTCGGTTAAAACGGGCCCCACGATTGGCACGACACCAAGCGGATTTTTTCGGTGACTCTGAATGCAAATAGAACCAGCTTAGTTTAATGAATATGCATGATTGTTTACATTGCGTTAATAATTGACAGGGTCTTGTAAAAACGTGTCGAATCAATTATATCAATTTCTCTTGTTTTATTTGACGTTACGAAATCACAGACCTACAAGTCATATCGTCATATCGAGTTACAAGGTAGGGCACTATTGCTTTTGTTTTTTTGTTACGATTACTCAGGAAATGAGCGATTTCATGTGTTTTTTATCGGAACGTTACAACATGAGGATTTTGTAATGGCCTTATCAGTGTCTAAAACGGGCCCGCTATGGGCCCATTTTAGACCAAAGGGCCCGTTTTAGACAGCTGATGCAGGCATTGACTTCTTAAGGTGGTTCATCACAAAATAAATGTGAATAAATTATTTTTTTTAAGAAAAATTATTTTCATCTTTTCTGATAGAAAATATTATTATTTTTTAGTTTTTTGAAAAAAATTCTACATTTTGTTTTGTATATTTTGTGATATTTAACTTTTTACCTAGGTATATTATCAAATAGTTCCTTAGCAACGCCTTAGTTACCGTTTTGAACAACTACAAACCTATCTAGTTCATACTATGAACTTCATATGTAATATTGTTTAATGAGAGGTCTTCAAATTATAAATTTGTCTGAATCTGTTATGTAAAATATAACTAAGTTTAAACTGCATTATGGGATATATCAACATAAAAAAGTCGTTTAAAAGTGTGCTTATTTAAATAAATTTGGTGTGTTATTAAAATAATTTCTTTTGATTTTCTTGTTGTTTTAAAGTAAATTAATGGTACTATTAATCAAGGGTGTATGTCTTTGAATGTTTCAAATTAATGTATAATCTACTATTATTACAGATTAATAGCACATTATGTAATTGTATTGTGCTTTGTTTCAGCTTCTTCAATAAAATGGGACGGTATAAAAGAACAACTGAAAGACAAACGTGGTCAGAGACAGGTATGGTCAAAGCAATTGAAGCATTACGTACAAAAACAATGGGATTAAAGAAAGCCTGTAAACTTTTCAGCGTACCCCGTTCAACACTTCAGCGGAGGTACAAGTCAAGTCTAGCAAGTGGAGCAGCAGCTGCAAAAAGACTCGGCTCAAGGTGCAATGTATTCGATACGGAAACTGAACTGGAACTTGTTCAGCATATAAAAACCATGGAAAGTATGCTTTTTGGTTTCACACCTAAGCGCTTACGAAAACTCGCATATCAACTAGCGAAAAGTAACAATATCCATGAAAGATTCAGTTCTGTCAAAGAAGAAGC